TGAAGAAAATCTCAATAAACGGTCCAGGCCAGTGCACCATGTGACCTGCAGGGGCAGAAATGCAGATGTAGGGGTTGGCACTGGTCCACCCAGATTTGTCCCCTTGAGGGACTAGAACCAGTTACTCGGTGCATTCCAGAACCCGGACATGTCACCATCCATCCCATTCCAAGTCTACAATGATTGTCACTAGCACCTACACGCAGAGTGCCGTGATGGATTCCCTTACCGGCTCGGATTTCCAGCGCCACGCTGAAACCCAATCCCAGGAAAACGGTACTGTCCAATGCGCGTCGTATTGTGGAGATGAAAGCTGACGGCTCAGCTGCATATAGGCTTATGATTTCATCAGGATTACTGCTGAGTAAATGCAACAAAAATAATACTCTATTGTCTGTAAGTGGCTGAAGTACCAGGGATTGCAAATCCCTTCAAATCGATCAAATGGTTTACAAAACAGCATGGATTTTCAGGTCCTCTGAGGAGCACTTCATAATAACTTTGCTGCTGAACTGCAGTGCTGGTCAACCCATTAGCCAACAGAGGCTGGGGCACCTCGGGCAGCATTGCCTAGAGCAGTGTTTCCCAATCCGGTCCTCAGGGACCCACACTCGGTCCGTGTTTTTGCTCCCTGCCAGTCGGTTCACATTCTTGCTCCCAAAAACGTGGACTGTCCGTGGGTCCCAGAGGACTAGACCGGGAAACACTGGTCTTGGGTGTGACATGAGCTTCAACCGGGGCTCCTGAACAGAGCTCTCCCCATTCCCTCTAGTCTGGTTTATTCCCAAAATCCAAAAGCATAAAGTCTGAGGAGATCTGTGTCCCCAGTTTGCCCATAGCACGTGAGGTGTGTGTGTGTGTGTGTGTGTCCTGCGCAGCACGGACATCCCATCCAGGGTGTTTCCTGCATGTGCTACCTAGGATTGGCTCCTGCTGTAACTCTGAACTTGATGGATGAATGGACATAAGGCATCTGCTTTTAAACCTCCACATTCCACATGCATTCTAACTGTACCCGCCTCTCTGGCTACTCTTAGACGAGGCGATGCAGGCGCCCAGCTATGTGAGCTTGATAACGCGCTGATAACGTTTTACTGCTGCACGGGTAACAGTCCTCAGATGGAATCTGTAGCACAGCCCCTGAGGATGTTGACCCGAAAGTATGTCAACAGTGACCTTTCATCTCGGCCGACTGGGTAAACGCACCTGCTGGACGCACAGCCAACTCAACTGTAAAAAAGAAATGTGTTTCAAAAGGTCCTGTGACGTGCTTACATTGTGGGAGCTGCGTGTAGCAGTCTAGCAGGCATAGAAATCTCTGTAAATCATGGGAAAAGTAACCAGTCCAAACCTCATAGCCCCTTCCTGGATTTGCAGTTGGCAGATGAACAGTCAGGTGGATTTATGCAATATGTAGATATAAAGAGAGTTGTATTTTGAAAATTAGCCTAGGCAAAGGTATTCAGTGACTGTAAGGTATGTTTTGATCTGATTTATGCTGAAACAAATAAGTAGGGTTATAAAGACTGATCTTACATTTTGTTCTTAGTTCACAATTCTTTTTGCTAGATGATGAAGAAATGTTCTCAGGTAGCACTGTAGGCATAGTCTAGCCAGAGTGCTATGCGGCGGGTGTGGGGCGTTGTCCGAGAGGCCGAGCGCTTTGAGTGTTCCTGTCTGTACAACTGCCTTCAGAGATTCTAGGCCAACTCCCAAAACAGAGGCAGCCATTTCCCATAGTGTGTGAAGTCTGCTAGCTTCACCTGTAGTAATGCTGTCACACCAGCAAACTACAGCATAGACGAAAACACCAGCTACAGCACACACGGATAATTTCTGTGCTGGTTATTAATCCACCTAAGCAACAGACATTTTGAGGCATTAGATTCGATGATATTGCCTCATCAGTGTGCAGTGCGATGTCAAAAATCTGCCTCTTCGTTAGTGATGAAGCTGGATAGCAAGATGTTTGATTTCCGAGATATCTGTATGGCTCGTTCTGATAAAAAAAAAAGAGAGAAAAATGAAAAACATTTCTTATGAGGGCAATACGGATGCCAGCAGGTGAAACGCAACAAAAAGCCTTTGCATATGATGAAAACTTTGTCTGAAATACTTTTCTCAGCTGCTTAAGTAAAGCCAAACATCACTTCATTTTCATACTAGTTATTAAGATGTTACATCATGAATATAGTTATTTAATCCCAACCTATTATTTGCATATTTGCTCCAAAATAAAGTCAAATGAAAAAACATATAGCCACCTATGTAACAAGAGTTACATTATGACTTAAATACCTCAGTTTCAGCTGTGTCACACGCCTGTTTTGTGGGACTTCTGGACCTCGAAACAAGTGATGTCTGCAGATTTATTGGCGTATAATTCAATCTTAGTTTTTTCTGAGGCATTTTCCCAAGGAAATTTATAAAGCTGGAAAACTGAAAAATTTTGGTTAAAAATAAACTCCTGTAACCCTGGTTTACATACATAGGCTGTACAACAGCGTGTCCAACCGTTTTTACACCAAGAGCTACTTTTACAAAGAAAATACTGTGGCAAGCTACCAAATTGCAACAATATATTTTGCCAATTGAGGGGGAGGGTCCACCTCACAGTATATATTGCAGAATGGGGTGGGGGGGGTCTCCCCTCAAAATACTTTGCTGCATTAATCATCTCGAGCGCCGTTGCTGTACATCTTTGCAGTTTAACTGACCAAAGGAGGTTTGGGAGCCAGCTGACCTTGTACCCGAGATTTTCCAACCTTAGGTTTTTGTGTCTTTTCCTTCTTAGATTTTTCTTGTTTATTTGTATTAGCATTAGCTTTAGATGCTATTGCATCCATTTTTGATGCCTTTCTTGTTTTCCATGTCTCTGCTGGGTACTTTGGGGCAACTGTTTTGGGAGGGTGCATGGCACTTTGTTAAAAACACATGGTATTGAATCTAGAGAGCATGGAAAACAAGAAAGGCAGCCCAGCAACATCTGGCCAGCTGTGCTGAAAGCTGAAGCCGAGCACAAGGACACTTCTGCAGCAGCCGCGGCGTTTCTTGGGCTTCGTAAAGGACTCTACGAGCCAATTAACAAGCACATGTTTGGGTGGGATGCTTGATCAAATGCAGGCACATGACATTACAATCTTCCGTGTATCCAAGGGTAGATTAATTTCTCTGGGGGTCCCAGGCTGACACAGGCTTTTGAGCTATTTTTTTTTATGAAAAAGGATGAAATGTCGGTAATCAGCACAAGTGTGGGGGGGGGGGGNGGGGGGGGGGGGAGCTGTATTTATCAGCCAGATTTAATAAGTTTAACCGTGGGGGGGGGGGGGGGGGGGAGCTGTATTTATCAGCCAGATTTAATAAGTTTAACCGTCCCATTTCTCCAAGGTGGGGCAGAGCCCCCGATACTGGTGTCCCTCCGTCCATTTTTCATATCACTCTTCCAGTTTAGGGTAACAAAGAACCTGAAGCCCTTCCAAGGAACAAGAACACAAGGCAGGGATGTAAAGGAATGATTATATAAAATTTTGATTCTTAGTAGTTCCTGCAGTGTTCCTCCCTCATCAAGTCACCCTGCCATTTGGCACGACATGGCTGTGCCGTTTCAGGACATGGCGAGCTAAAAGTGAAAAACTGCAGACATGAGCCCAAGATCTACATTGTGGGGCTGTGAGGCTGTGAGGCTGCGAGGCTGTGGGGCTGTGGGCCTGCGAGGCTGTGAGGCTGCGAGGCTGCGGGGCTGTGAGGCTGCGGGGCTGTGGGGCTGCGAGGCTGCGAGGCTATGAGGCTGTGGGTCTGCGAGGCTGTGAGGCTGCGAGGCTATGAGGCTGCGAGGCTGCGAGGCTATGAGGCTGTGAGGCTGCGAGGCCAGGCCCACACGCCACTGCCTGACGGGGAGCGAAATATGTCTTTTCAATGAGAAGCGTATCTAAAGCGACGGATAAGGAACCACCATCGCGAGACTGTACTTCAACCCCCACAGCGAGCCCAGCTGTTGTACCGTGAACAAACCAAATAACCTTTGACATAGCAGCACTTGCTTGGCAAACAAAAGGCGAAAAAGCGCAGGGACACCTTCAGAGTAAATACCGATGGTGATGGGGGGGGGAGATATGGTGAGCTGTCCATCCCCAATCCCCTCCTCTCAGCCTACCAGGTTAAATCCCAAAATCCGTGTTTCAGAAGGACACCTTTAGGAACCATAAATAACGTTTCTGGGAAACAGAACTCCTGCAGAAAGTTTGGAGTAACACTGGAGTTAGATGCACCATCTCAGACGTTAGATTCTACCACTAGTAAAGTCTTGCCGGTTGACAGTGGATTCCTTGGTTCAGTGCAATGAATCTCATTAACGAGATGAGCAGGGTATTGATGTCACTGAGAAATGTCGGCTACCTCAGAGTGCCAACAGGCGAACTATGACTGCGCATTTCGGTGAAGATAGGCACGTTCGTCCGGCATCTAAGTTTATCGGTCGGTTCTGACGTAAGGCTTGACACAGGACTTCTGCATAACATCTGCTCCTTATTGTTCACGCTTGATTTGCACGACTGCTGGTGAAACGTGCAGGGCTGCTGGAGGACACAGGGACGTGGAAAATTAAAAGAGAAAATGCAAGGTGCTATCATTAGCTTCAGTCTCAGTCAGCATTGCACTTTGAAGGGGCATGTCTGCACTGCTGGGCACCAGTCCTGCCTTCTCATAAAAACCAGCAGCCTGCGCCTGTAAAATGCACACTGGAGCATCCAGCCTCTTTTCTACTCGCATTTACGGCACTTTTCTAGGACTACTGGATTTGGTGCAATTACCCCCAAAGGTGGTCCGAATTCCCCTCCCTCAAGCATCAATGGACTTCACAGAATACTTTCATAGACAAGGGACACTTATTTTCTTCAGAATTATGCAACCTGGTTCAGACTTTGAGAGACAAGGTACAAGCAATCTGCGTGAAAATATCACAGATTTTTTACTTTTATCTTGCTAGGGATAACAACTGCATACAATCTGTGCAAAGAGCTTTATTAAAAACAATACAAAATAATGCAAATGTAAAACCTTCAAGCACTTATCCCTGCCAAGAGTTGGCTTAAGTGATAGCCACACCCCTTCTGGCGGAGGCCAGGAAGTCGTAGGTGACCTGGGTGATGTCGAAGGCCTCCTGGGCAGCATCGGCGGCGAGGAGGGTGGCCAGCCCCGCGTCTCCCTGAGCGGCGTCCCGCTCTGTGCCGCCGAACATGACGCCCCAGCGCGTGCCCTCCCGTTCTTCGTCGGCCCACTGGGGCGCCGGCAGCCGAGCGGAATGCAGGAGGGGGAAGATCCTGTCCAGGTACACCCGCACAAACAGGCCCTTCAGCAGCTCCGGGTCCCTCTGTCCATGGGCAAGATGTGGGGGTGGGAGAGGAATAAGGAGAATGGGTGTGACCATTTACATCCCAGGTCTGCCTTCGGCAAGGCTCCAAAGCTTGTCATACCTTCTCTGATCTCCGGAGGGCGCCCTCTTTTTCAGCCCAAGTGCCCTGCAGCCATGCGTATAAACAGAAACACCTTACAGATCCATTCATTAGCAATTCCCGTCTCAATTATGCACATGGGACACTCATGGCATCTAACTGCAAAATGAATATCGTGACATGAATGACACAAGCTGAGCCTAGCAACTGCAGATCTCTGACCATCTCGCCTCATGCTCGCTTGCACAACCATAACTTCAGTACCGCCTGCATGTGTTGCTATGATTTATTTGTAATGTATTTAATAAACACCTGTCTTGAACACCTGAAAACCGGCTTGTATTGTTCTGACTCAATCTTTTGTTAAGCCCTTTCGGAAAGTCTTTAGTAATAAGCTGAAACTGAATATTTGTTATAAAAAATTTAACTCAAAGCTATTTTAAGATGAGGGATATAAAGGAGGATTAAATGCTTGTCCCCAGGGCCAAAAACTCACCCTTAAAGCATCCAGAAGATCCGTGTGATCCAGAATGTGGGGGAATGTCGCTAAGACTGGGCTGCACATAAGATCTGTGGGAGTAGAATTCCCTTTACAGAACGTGCATCTGTGCATTTTTGTGTCTGCAGCATCTGTGTGCCAATATCTACGCTCAGCATCCGACATTCTGTCAGTGAGCTGACCCAGAATTGGACACTAAAACCCAAGATGCTTTTGAACTATCATTACTCCTGAATGGCCATCCATGTTTGGGATATCATGTAGTATAGAGACATTATGGGAATCCTTCACAACAGAGTCACGCAGAAGGAAGGTAGCGAATGAAAATGCCTCAAACGTGCAGTTACCTGCATTCTGCATGGTCAGGCGGTCCCTGAGAAGCGCGTCGGCAAGGACCTGCCTGTAGAGGGCTAGCAGGGGCACAGAACTCGAGCTGAAGATCAGGGTGTCAGGCAGGAGGCTGAGGCAGAAACAGGAAGACTGACATCACTGCAGGGCTTCCTCAGAAAGCTAGAAAGCTCTGAAGCGATGATGCCAATGGATGCACTGGCAGCGGGTGAGGAGGACTTGCTACAGTAATGTTTGCTGGGGCTGCATGTAGTGGAGATGAACGTACTTCAGGGAGGCCCTGGTGCTGTTGCTGGGAGAGCGGAGCTTCACGATGAGTTTGGGTTGTTTCCGGGAGATCAGCATCTGGTGCAACATGCTTCCCATAGCTGTACCAGGATGACGGGGGTTATTTTTGGCCTGTTTCTTTTTTCACAATAGATGTATAGATGCCATGAGTCATCATTGGAACCACAGCCCACACTGAAAAAATGTCAAATTCTTTAGGGCAGTGTTTCCCAATCCAATCCTTGGGGCGCTGGCAGCTGGGCGGAATGCATTTGCTGTTCTCAGAGCAGCCTCGGGGACCGGGGAATGGGAGGGAGCAAAAATGTGGACCGTCTGGTAGGGAGCTCGGTGGGAGCAAAAACATGAACCGACTGGGGGTCCCCAAGGACCAGATTGGGAAACACTGCTTTAGGGGAGCATCTTTGGCAGGAGAGCAGCTTACTCTCCATGTGTTTCTCCTTTACGCTGCATTCATATGGAATACATGTTGTGTTTTTCAGCACCGGCCACATTCCTTCCCATTATGAGTGTCATTTTTTGCTACACCCCTCTCTTTCACCTCCAGTGCCGCGCCCTGGTGGATGGGCGTAAGTATACAATGTTTGTAGAAGGATTATATGTTCATCATTTAATTTTCTCTTTTTCAGATTGCTAAACGATTTGACTATTGAACATCTCTTCAGGTTATGTGAATGCAATACCCCATTTTACTGAGAAGCCCCTGCCCCTCACCCCCCTCCCCCACAGCCATACCATGCAACCCAGCATCATCAACTTATTAGCCAATCAGATCCAACCTCTCCTGTTAATTGAAGGGTCCACATCAACATCTTTTTCATAGGGAGTCCCTCCATGGATGGTAAGCTCATATGTCCTGCAAAGGCAGGTTAAAAAGCACGTTAACATGATACAGGAGGTAAATATGCCTGAAGAACACAGGTCTTACCAAATGTATAAATAGATTCCGATCAAAATCGTACACTCAGTCAGCACTTCATGAGATACACCTAGTAAGTAACCATTTCAAGGGTAGTTGTGTGTTCAGAAGAGCCATTCTATTAATCCTGATACTGAGATGTCATTTTCCCCTTCTGGCTTTCCTGTTAGCTTTGATGAGACTGACCACTCTCATTAACGAGGTATTTTTGGAGTAGCAGGCTATCTGCGTTAACGAGAAAGTCTAATTCATAAAGTGGCCACTGAGTGAATTAGGCACAGTTTTCCATTTCTTTTATTGTGTTGTAAAACACGTAACAAATCAAAGGCAAGGACAGAAAATTAATAGTAATGAATGAGACGATCAATCACTGTTCGGATTATGTTTAAAAAAAAAAAACAAAACAATATAAAGTATGGTTAATATGACAGGAATCCTGTAAGGGAGGGGCCTCAGGGCGTACCTGTGTGGGATGGGCACCCCGCTCACATCGAATAGCCCAAGGAAGGCCCAGCCGCAGCTGAGGTCGCCCCTCTCGCCTGTGGACTGGAACCCAGAAGCGGAGGGATCACAACTATCAGCTAAAGCTCACACAGCACTGCAAAGCTCCCCGACTTACCTATCAGGCTTTTTATTTGCGATATATTCAATAATAGTGAATATAATCTGTTACGTTATCCTGCTGGCCTCTCGGCGCACAGAAAAAGCAGAGCTGCTCATGTTAAAAAGAAGCCGGCTGAGAGACTGCGGCAGGACCACGTCCACGCAGGGGACTCACGTTCCGAATGTAGGTCACGCCCAGTTCAAACAGGATCCCCACTTCAGAGGACTGGCAGTCGCTCCTTATGAAACAGTTTCCATCCAACAGACTGGGCAGGATACCAGTTGTCTGTGTAATTCACACACACACACGCACATGTAGGGTAAACATATCCTTATGGGGACCGTTCATTCATTTCAATGGGAAAGATGCTAACGCTAACTATGACAACCTTAACCCCCACCCTGCCCTAACCATAACCATAAGTAACCTAACAAAATACAAGAGTTTTTGCATTTTTAGTTTTTTCATAGCAGTCACCGATTTTTCCTGGTCCCCATAAGGGAAAAAAAACGGATATTTATCACGTTATGGGGACATTGTGTAGGTAAACCCGCTCGCACACGCACACACGCACACACGCACAAACACACACACACACACACACACACACAGGTGTAACCAAACAAAATAAAAGGCTTTTGGCGTTTTTAGTTTTAGATCTTTGTGGGGACCTGAAAAAAGCTCTCCATAATGTCAAATTAACAAGGACATTTGGTCCCCACAATGTAATATAAATGTAATCCACACACACATACACACACACACACACACACACACACACACACACACGGCAGGGCTTGCGCTAACTGAATTCAATCTTTTTAAAGCCAGCAAAAGAGAAATACATAGAAAGAACATCGTACCCTTGGAGAAAAGGTCCAGGTTTTTTGGTTCTTTTGACCAGCATTTGCTCTGACTGTGTGGATATTACTCAGTACCTACAGAAAGAAAGATGATCATTTCACTGTTTCCTCATTTACCTTCATCTGATGTAACGTATGGAGCTCACAGCAGGAAATGGCATCAATGTCTCTCTCTTACACTCAGCGAAAAGAGGATACCAGGACTGCACTGATACACTTAAAATTTGACTGCAGTCCTTCACAAGTGTGCACATGATAGCTGAGGGATGCTGTCAGGTAAGTCAAGTCAAGTCAAGACAAGGCAAGTAGGCTTATTTTCACTTCAGCCAAATACACAGCACACAGAGACACGAAACATTGTTCCTCCAGTGTGCAACATAAGACTACACAAGTGCAGGCAGGGCAGAACTATACAGAATGCAAGGAGAGCAAAGAGAGAGAGAGACTGCAAGATAAACACCAAGACACAATGTTACAGAAGTCAACATACAGTGCAGTGGACAAAAGCAGTAACAGTATCATTTTGAATGAGTACAGTATTGTGACAGGTATATACTCTAGCAGCTGAAGTGTGCAAAAAATGCAAGAGAATAGAGAATAAATAAATAATTAATGGAACAAGTTCTGTTCAGGAGTGTGTGTGTGGGTGCAATTTATGATTCAGTTCTGATTCAGGAGTCTGATGGCCTGAGGGAGGAAACTGTTTCCCATCCTGGCAGTGATAGCCTGTATGCTACGGAACCTTTCCTGTATGCTACGGAACCTTTTGCCAGATGGAAGGAGGGAGAAGAGGGTGTTGGAGGGGTGTGTGGGGTCGCCCACAGTGCTGGTGGCTTTGCGGAAGCAGCATGGCGTGTAAATGTCTGCTGTCCTCGCTATCCTCTGTAGGGGCTTGCGATCCGATGCAGTGCAGATCCCGTACCAAGCCATGATGCAGCTACACAGGATACTCTTTATAGTCCCTCTGTAGAGTATGGTGAGTATTGGGGGGGGGGGGGGTGCGCTCTCCTCAGTCTCTGCAGGAAATAGAAACTCTGCTAGGCTTTCTCGGTGATGGAGCAAACTTGATGATGTACTTTGAGCAGTTGTGGGTTAACGGTGTGAATAGCAGAGGACTGAGCACACAGCCCTGGGGAATTTCTTTGGCACGGGGATGATGGTGCTGGATTAGAAGCACGTTGGAACAACAGTGGTGCTCAGAGAGATATTGAAGATGTCTGTTAGGACATCTGCCAGCTGGTCCGCACCTCCCCTGAGCACACGACCAGGAATGTCGTCTGGTTGAGTGGCCTTCCGTGGGTTGACTCTGAGCAGAATTCTCCTCACATCAGCCGTGGCCAGACGGAGCACCTGGCCGTTGGGGGGTGGGGTGTTCTTCCTCTCCTGTGTTATTGTGAGCTTCAAACTGGGCGTAGAAGTGTTTCAGCGCATGTGGAAGGGAGGATGGAGATGTCCTGTAGTTGGCGATGGGCCGGATGCCCTGCTACTTGGGTCTTGCGTCCCCAGTGTGCTGGAAGTGGCCGTGGACTCTCTGAGCATGTGCACGCTTTGCCGCTCTGATGGCCCGGGACTGGTTGGCCCTTGCTGTTCTCAGGGCAGCCTTGTCATCGGACCTGAAGGCAGTGTCTCGGGTTCTCAGCAGCGCGTGCACCTCTGCAGTCATCCGTGGTTTCTGGTTGGGGCGTGTGATGGAAACAGTAACATCATCGATGCCCTTGCTGATGTAGCCAGTCACCAACACCGTGTAGAGCGCTGTAGGTTGCAGCTTCCCTAAACATGTCCCAGTCAGTGTGCTCAAAACAGTCCGGAAGCGCAGAGATGGCTCCTGGGGGGGCAGGTTTTCATCTGCTTCATGATACGCACCAGCGATGTTTGTGTAAACACAGTCCAGAATGTTCATCACCAGTCATCACATACTGATGAAATTCAGGGAGAACTGACTTGAGATGTGCGTGGTTGAAATCGGCGACAATAAACGGTGCATCTGGGTGGGCGTTTTGGAGCTCGCTGATGGCTCCGTAAAGCACACTGTCTGCGTTAGCGCTGGTTGGCATTATACCGCGACTATAAGCATGGTGGTGAATTCGCGTGGTAAATAAATGGTCTAACAGTCACAAACTCCAGCAGCGGTGAGCAGTAACTAGAGACCAGCACAGCTTTCCTACACCATTCTGTGTTGATGCAGACACACAATCCCCCTCCTTGGGTCTATAGGACACAGCTGCGTTTCTATCTGAACAAAACATTAGCAAGCCGGTTATCTGTATTCCGTTGTCCGGGACGCCACCGCTGAACCATGTGCAAAACAGGGCAGTCTCCGAACTTAAGCTAGGTAGACCGCTGGAGTCGGATGTAGTCCTGTTTATTGTCCAGTTTACTGGCTTCTATCGGGGTAGGAACAAGTCATTCTTTGGCAGGTCCAAGTCATTTACCCTCAAGTCCAAGTCGAGTCCAAGTCTTTCCATCAGTTTTGCCAAGTTGAGACACAAGTCATCAAATTTGTGACTTGAGTACGAGTCCAGTCACGAATACATTAAGATGATTGTGGCACCATGGATCTGATTGCTCTGTTCACTAAGCGAGTCAAGGTTGGAGTCAAGGTTGGAGTCAGGAAACACACAGCTGCTAAAGGTAAGGGGGAAGATGGTGGCACAGGAGGTAGTGCTATTGTTCGGCAACTTGAGGGTTGCCGGTTCGAGCCCTGGTTCCTCCTGACCCCGTCAAAGTGTCCTTGAGCAAGACACTGAACCCCAAATTGCTCCCGGTGTGCAGGTTGGCGCCTTGGATGGCAGAGTGTGGATGGGTGAATGTGAGGCATGAATTGTAAAGCGCTTTGAGTACTCGTAGGAGTAGAAAAGCGCTATATAAATGCAGTCCATTTACCATTTGTGCACACAGGTGTTCAGAAAACACAGACATTCACCCTGAATATTTTTTTTAAGTTATATCATTCCTGTGTCTGACTTTTTTCTCTTTAAAACCCAGGGCACAAGTAGGGGATGAACATGGGAAAAACACACAAACTCTTCAAGCCGGGATTGTATTCACACCCACAGCCATGGAACCTGACCTGGAGTCAACAATACTTCTGACTGGCTGACCAGGAACAGGAGTGCAGTGCATGTATTTACTTAAGAGATAAACAAAAACGTCCTTATTCCTGTGCAGCAAACCATGCAAAGCACAACAGAGGTCCCATCAAAAACACAAAAGCCATCTTTTAGAAAGCCATTTGCTTGTGTGCATGTTTGTCTCTGCCCCCTAGTGACTGGCAAGAGAATGACAAGAACAATTGAAGAATGAGGCATTCTGAAAATGAAGATTTACGATAAAATTTCAACACGTACACAATGTGCCCATGAATTCCCTAATGAATAATCTGATCTTCTCTAAGAGCTTGTGGCTGTCCACCGATGAGCTCACCGACCTTGATGCCATCGAATACGCAGAGGCGCACGTGTCTGCTGAGGACCTGTACCCCAACCCCAGGGGTTGGGATCATTCTGCAGCTCCACAAGGTCAACATCAGGGAGATCCTAGAGATCCTGGGCCGGACCTGTGTAGAGTAATAACGTCAGCAGGCTGTCTATTTATAATGGCTGCAAACACTCCATGTCTATCAGAAGGGGGTTTAGGAGTCCAATGGAATGAGTAGAGCCAAGGAAGGCCAAACAGCAAGATAATGATCATTAACTACCTCAACCTTTACCCTCCAACTGGCGAAAAAATGCAAACTTGCAAGCTGCATTACTTGTTTTGTCAGGTGAGCTTTCAAAGGAACCGTAACCAGTTTAGAAAAGATTATAGCAACTATCTTTCCGTTTTTTGTTTTCTGTGTTTCCAAGTAACTTGATCATGGCTTAAACTGAATTACAAAATAAGCAAAAATAGCTGTAAAGCTCGACAGGTACGTACACCTCCTGTATCTGGATTCCAGAAAAGATCTTTGAAGACAAGCTGAGACTGACTCAGTTCTGGCTGGATGAAGCAGCTGCTCCTGTAGGTACTTCCTGAAACCACAAGCAGTGTTCATGTTTTTAGGACATGCGATGGCATCAGTGGTCCAGTGAAATGTAAATGATTTTCACTTCATAAATGAGCATAGTATCAGGGGCAAAGAGTCCTAACCCGCAGAGCCACAGTCGACCGTGTCTGATGTTTTTGCATAATTTTAATGAAGAATATGGGTTACGAATGTGTTCTATTCGTCAACGACGCAAAAACTTTGCTAGAAATATGATCAAATGCGATGCCTGGAAAAAATCTGAGGAACGCCACAGCCAAGATGAAATCCAATCGTCCATCTGGGGGGTGCACTGCCTAAAGACGCCGCTCTTCCACAACACTGATAAATGCGAATAATGACGTGAACACACCCCCAGGCAGTGAATTGCAGGTCCGAGTGAAGCGTGTGTGCATGCCAGCGGAGGCGAGAGCAGTTCGCGCAGTGACCGTCTGCACGTGTCACCGTTGCCATGGGCAACATGGGGGTAGATCCGTTAAAAAAGTGCCGCCTGAAGTGCAGACTGACGACCCCAGCTGGGGCCTGAAATTCTAACCATGTCTTTGGAAGTTCAAACTCCGTCAGAAAGCCAGTTCAAGAAAACCTCCTGGGTCAGTGAAGGAGTTTAATTAAAATAAATACCTGAATAAAGTCTTTAAAAAGTGAATTTTCTTGTTTGCATCAATCACGAAACAAGCCACCTGACACAATGGTCATGTCTCATGGGTCAAGTAGTTTCAATATCAAGTTTCAGGTTTTTTTGTGATGGGTTCCAGGGAACCCATGAATTTCTTGTGCCACAGTTGCAGGGGATGGAACACGCGCATGCGCTGACAACAGGACAAACAACAGTACAATGTGGGACAAAACAGGAGTGCAGTAAAAAAGTGTTTCTCAAACCAGTCCTCTGCGATCCCCAGATAGTCCATGATTTTGCTCTCTGGGAGAAAGCAAAAATGTGGACTGTCTAGCGGTTCCTCAGGACTGGTTTGAGAATCACTAAAAGACAAGACAGAGCAATACAGGAACTGGATAAAATAAATGAAAGAGCCAAACCTCAACTTATCTCCATGGTACGAATCTGATCTCTCACCTTCGGCAAGCAGCTTCGACAGGGTGGACGGCCTGAAGCCCGCGGGGATGGCACCCATGGCCGCCAGCACGTCAGTGGCGCTGATCTGTTAACGGAAACATGTGAAAAATGTGTCCTGGCGGCAGCTCCTACTAACTGTCTGTAACAGTGACACTGGGACACTCGAGGTGCCTCTGAACAGCTTTTAATATGAAACAGCACCTAACTGTCATAAGCAATCTTGTACTGTTATTTACACAATACTTACAGCGAAAACCATGCCCCTCATTTGTTTTATCTTTTTGCATTCTGAAAAATCTTTTGTTTTCATCACGCAATGTCTGTTACAATGGTCAATTGTTAAGTACAGTAGACTTTGGTTACTATATGCATGGAGCAGCACCTCTAGAACTGTTTCCACCTACTCCATCTTACCCACCTCTGTGATTGCTTTTCTTACAGTATCCCAATTAGACTGACAGCTTCTGCAAAAAAAAAAAGAGATAAATTCTGCTAACCTTTAGAGTACTGATTTCCATGTTTTAACTAATAACAATTCACTCTCGAGGTTGGAGTGCTTCAGCTGAGCTCAAGTGCTTCATTTTGTATGTGACTCCATCTAGTGTTGGGACAGGAAATGCGCACCTCTGGTTTGTTGCAGACTCTTCATCCATCGCCTCATCACTCTCTTCTCCCGTGTCAGAGTCTTCTTCGTCCTCTTCTTCCTCCTCCTCCTCCTGATGCACCTGAGAGGATGCTATTTTTACTCCAAGTCTACATATTGACTGAAAATCATTTGTTTCTGTGTATATAAATAAGCACTTTACTGGTCAATTCCACAAATACCTGATTATAGTTCTTTCTGTCACAATTTAACAGGTGTAAGCCATTCATATTAAAATCTACAATTACATTTTCCTGCATATGACCTAAAAATTACAGAAAGCTATAAAGTTGGTTAAAGTGAAGAGGAGGTTCTCTCACCTTTAAGAAGGTTTTAGGGACAAGACCCTTTCTGCCTTCTGCATTCCTAGCGAGCCACCAGCCATCTGGGTTCCTGCTTAGAATGCGCAGGATCTCACCCTTCTGTTAAAAATGAAAAGACACATTTTTCCACACAACTTACATGGCTGTCCGTGCTTCATATGTTTCATTTACCTAGGCTTTACCTGAACTGTCAAGTCACCATCTTGCTCGCCTTTAAATGCACTGAGAACAATAAAACAGGCTGTGTCTTTTTTAGGTGTTTGTTTTTCTGCCTGCTCTTCGTCATCATCTTCTTCATCTTCGTCGTCATCCTCCTCTTCACTTTCCGCCTCTTCTCCTTCATCATCCTCCGTCCCAGAAGATCCCGCTTGATTTCTGAACAAAGGAGATGAAGGGATCTGCTGAAGACGACAGCGACTGTCGCCGTCTCTCAGACTTTTGAAAGCACCTCGTAGCCATTTTCCAAGGATCTGACCGGCAACTGCGAAGTACTTAAGAAAGTCTTAGACATGGTCAAATGAGAAGAAGATATCATGAGACAACTGAGAATATAAACAACCCATGTTCGTCGCGCTTTGGCTTTGAACATTCTCTTTGCTTATGACGCACCTGGAATCTACTTTCTGCGCAGGAGACGCCATGGCTGAGAGGGACAGCAGCTGCTTCTGCATCGTCTCCAGTCTCTTCTCTTCGTCCAGCTTCCTTTGGTCGTAGTTTCCCACCGGTGCAGGTTCGTCTGCCTTTTCACAATAAAACGCGGTACAACACGGTGATATGCAAGTTAGGGTAAAAAAAAAAGCAAGCCACACCTTTAGAGGGTGCCATAGTGCTCGTGATTCCAGAGAAGACGACTTGAGACACCTACTTTGGTCAGCTTCTTCAGAGTCCTCATTGTCTCCTCAACAGACTTCAGAAGCTGGCTGCACCTGTTCGAAGATAAGGTAGGGTGAAAGATTAGTGACAATAATGGCTTAACTGGAGTTTCAACCAACAGTAGCTCCTATATCCCCAGCAGCATCCGTAGGTTGCGTTTTGTCATGGAGAAACATCCATGTCTACATCATGCTAATACCTCTGTGAAGCTTCTGTCAGCCTGGAATCTTCCGTATCCACATTCAGCTGTTTCACCTCCCGGACCAAACTGTCCACCTTGGAATGGGAAGAGATTGAAGTCCATGAAAAATAAAATTGCATTAGCTCAATCTACACAATAAACAATTATTTGCAATGGCATTGTCGTTGACCGGTGACGGGATCAGGGACACCTCTAGAGAGATTGGGCTCCGAACCCAGACCAAACCAGTTATGTTCTAATTGCTTTTAGGGCCCCTGTCACCCTGTCATGGTGTTCCACACGTAAGCCCTCAAAAGCTTGCCAGTAGGACAGCCCTAAACCCTTGAAACATTCCACACACTGACAAATCCCCACACACATTAGCAGATCTGTCGTGGCAGAAGTGTAGCAAAAACACGTGAAAAAAGACAGCCAATTGAGAGGTCCTCCTGAGTTGTAACTGATGGCTTGTCGGTATGTACAGTTCTTGGAGTAAAATACTTAGACTTTTTAGCCATTAATACCCATGTGCACCTATACGCATTTTCAGGTCTATGCACGCATTTACAGATTTGTCTATACAAGTAGGCCTACAAATCTCAGCACACTTGCAAATATCATTAAGCATACGAATCTGATTCGGAATACACATTTACAGATTCCTGTACATATTTACAAGTACGTAGTTATGTATTTGCAAATTCTTTGACTCTCTATACACATTTGCAAATAATTTTGCTACAATAATAGCCCCATATCATTATTTGTTCTTCAGTTGTGACTCAGTAATTACTAGGTATTACTAAGGTAATTCAATGAGACAGAATTTACTTTTCACTTGCGTAAACATGTTTTATTATCCACCTAAATGATCTTTGGTGTGTGGCTATCTGCTATTACTTTCAACATCTAGATCATCTTAATTTGAAACTGTCTAAATTAAACTGAACTAAATAAACGCTTGTTGAAGCATTCTATCCAGATAACTAGCCACCTGAACATATTCTAGCAATCTAAATAGCTATAATTTTAATGTCATTTTACGTCTTTTAGATGTACTGTGACTGAATAGGTAAATAGCCAAATTATAATGACATCATTCATCTTATAACCGCGTACCCTATTAATAAAATGTAAATATGATTTTAAAAACGCACTTGTTTTTTAATGCCATCAGTGTCCCTTTGTACTGTTTGCAACGGTCCCCTCTTCTTCGGTGGCATCTGAATTCAACGACAGAAAAAGCGTGATCCTATGTTATTTTGATTTAGGAAAAGTAGTCAGACGCCGGTATTCAGTCGCTAAGATACAGTGCGGAGGTAAAGTCGGCGACACGGAGTAACAAACCTCACCGCCCATCAAACATAGAGATCGTACATGTACTAGATGTTATTATTGTCACTATAGCGGGAACTGCACCCCAGAAAGACCAGATGTGTCAGCTCCAATAATCAGTTTTATAAATCATGATTTATTTTCTTAAAATTTAATGAATTCGGCCCCGTTCGAGCTTGGTCCGGACACGTAAAATATTGCTTCTCTAGTTTAATTTCTCTATGGTAGTGCCGTAATGCTGTCGAGTTAGTGCGCAATAGTTTGCGACGGAAGTGAAAACAGGTGTGCGACGGAAGAAAATTTAGAACGCGTGTAGCTGTAAAGTGTAAATCCATCCATCTATCCATCTTCCATAACCGCTTATCCTGATCAGGGTGGCCTGGAGCTATCATGCCATGACAGAGCCAGTCAAGGACAGCACAGGGCTGGGTGCATCCTGGGCAGGAAGCCAATGCATGTAGTTGTGTTCATTTTAAATAAGGTTAAATATTTTTGTTGCAATCTGCTTTCTTCTGTCGGAAAGTTGTGCAGATTTTGATTATTTAGGGCGCTAGTTATTATTTAAATCAACAACAAAATATGACAACAAAATTGACTTTTTAAGTTTGAAATGTTATTCTTGAGAACCCCAAAAATTAAAAAAATATTGAATAATGGATGCATCATTTTTGCGAGTACTTCAAAACCGTACAAAAGATTCCTGGAATGAATGTTCAAAAATATTGGTTTTATTTTTTTTACTTTTACATCTCTTTTTAATTGTAATATTTTCCCCTGTGACATACATTGCAATAGGGTTTACCGGTCCATCTTGATTTCATTCAGTTTGTCTTGCAGCATAAGAGAACGACATTTTTATTTGTACTTAAAATACAATTTAAGAAAACATTACATTTATTTAGCAGACGCTTCTATCCAAAGGCAGGGTTAGGAAGTCCGTGGAGTATTTGGGGTTAAAGCCCTTATTCAAGGGCCCAGCGGTGAAATCACTATGCCGGCTCTGGGATTTGAACCAGCGTCCTTCCCAAATACCGAACGTATTCAACGATACTGTGCGTCATGTATTTTCAGCATCTTGTCTGGAGACTCGGTGATGATCCTTCACTCAGCTAGGACCCACTGGACCAGGAACTCCATGATATGACTTGAGACGGGTGGCAGTCCGCAGCCTATGAAATAAAAATTGTGATTAAATAATTGTATTTATGTACAGTATTTCAAACTTTAAAATATGAGACTTTTGTTTGGGGACATAGTACACAGAAATGTTAGCACGCTTCTTCTATCGTATCGATGTTCTCACTTCTCTGCTAATACCCCACGATTTAAAAATAACAAATATCTACAGCAATTTGCGCGATCTTTAAGTCTTTTCTAATACGATGTTGATTACGCATATAAAAGGAATAAGTACCTCGGTCTCTGTATCCATATGAAATCCAAGCATGTCACGCCAAGTCCAACTTCTTCTGTGTTTCTGCCAGCTTATCCTGCAGTCTTTTCTTTCTCCAGTCTAGGAACTTTCTTCTAATTCTGTTCGCTTGCCAACCAGCAAGGAATCCTGATGCAAACGAAATGAGTATTGCAACTTGTAGAGTTCTTTCTGACACATCAGCCATGTTCACCTTTAGCTACGTGTAATCAGTTTCTATAAATGCTAAACTCTACCAGGGCCTGAGAATGCTTAAAACTACAGCCACGTGACTTTATGGCTGTCGTACAGCCCGCTGTTACAGGAAGCGTCATGGTTCATACTTCACAAGCTATAAAAGCGATTCAATTTTTTCCGTTTCATAAATGCATTACATCCATAAACTGCTCGTAGACTGAGTATACAAATGTGAAATTTGCAGGTATGTATGCCTGTATGTTATATATGTGTGCGTATTTCTCAAAATAGAGCAAAATGAGATATGCGAAGAGAAGCATTCCAATATACCTGTACTCATAATTGTGCTAATTGCAAATAAAGAATCAACTTCAAAAGATAACTAAAATGCTCATATTATCAGTTATGAAATGTGTATGAGCTGATATCTTAGACTAATTACACTGAAATATAACAATAATAATAATAACATTTGGTTTCGTTCATCCATTTATTTATCAATTCATCAGTACTGGTGTGCCAGTAACATCTCATAGTTCAAAGTGTCATCGTTAGCGCCAAAGTCTTATGATTCTGCAACACATCCATCTTATTTCCATTGCACGTTCTGCACAGTTTAGATTCAGGTCATTATGGATGGGAAAGTATATAGGGCTACTCTAAAGTCACCCACACCTAAAATCCAACATGCACAAGGGGCGTTCCTGCAGATTGTATTTATCTACATCAGAGGCAAATCAACATGGTCAGAGCTGATGATGATATAGCCATCGACTTGTGCGGTAAAAGTTGCTGACCTGTGGCGATGAAGTCCCTGGGCATCAGTCTGGGTAACCCCATACATTAAACTGCACCTGATCTGTGTGTTAAATTTCTTAACATTGCGGAGTGTAATTTTCATATTCCACTCCCCAGTATCGACAGTGTTATAAGGATCCAAGGCATAATCATTTCACCAAAATCATTTTTTTCCCTTTACTATAAATTTGACCTGAACTATTTTATACCATACCTATGTCCAAAGAAGAGCAGTAATCTGTTTATTGTGCAATCATAGTGCATTCCCCTAAACGAAACTCAGAAGTACTATTGTTTAAGGGAAAGAGAAAACAACTGTACAAAAAACTACATCTACCAGATGAATCCTTTCCATCTCAGCTTAGAATGTGCATGGATGCTGTAACAGAGGTTGCTAGACCCAAGATCACCTCAGGGCCAATAGAATCTTATAAACACAAAATCATTTTGCTCTATATTGTTCACCTTGTACATGCCGCAATGTGGTACTGATCGGGATTTATAACTGTACTGAGCTGAGATGCTGTTGTACCCACAACTTGTACTTATAACCAGACTTTTCCACTGAGAATGTAACAAAAATCAGCGGGTCAAATATATTCCTACTGCTCGAAAGTCTGGTATTAAATACAGTGCTCAATACACTACTGTGATTTTTTCCCTTTTTAGCTCACAAAAATAGCACTCCATTGAGGCCACCTCATCTAATTACTGTAGTGGACACGTAAAACAAATATGCTGGGGGAAGCTGCCTCAAGCCGAACCACTTCCCTATCACACTGGATACACTGAACCATGGCGCTAAAATGTCTGTGCTTATTAGAGTGGGGTCACAGTGATCTAGAATCAAGAAGCATAGGACGTCTCCATGACATTCTTTACTTTATATTATTTTATGTTGCATTGTATAAATGACTTTAGAAAAAAAGAGTTTTAATACAGCAATATTAATCGTTTGTAATATTACCTTTTAACAAGGAATACTAAAAAGGTAGTGCAATCAAAATGCGATATATTCATTTTTTCGTATGCAATGTCTAGAATCTACTGCATTAATATTAATTGCATTAATTAATGCAGTGTCGTTTGAGGGAGGGGAGTGTGTTTGAATCAGCGGGCTGGTCAGGATTGGAAAGCAGGGCAGGATATACCTTTTGTAGGGATTGATTTGATAATGCTGATAAGTTAAACCATTGTATTTTCTTTCTTCTTGTTAGTTCAACTTAAAAGGTGTTTAAACTTAAACTTAAACTTAAAGGTGTTTAATCAGACAATCGCTTATTTGTATTGCTGGGCTGAATCATAAAGAAATAGAAGACGATAGTAAATTAGACGTTAATTACAGGATCATGAAAAAGTTTCACCACGGGAAGATTCTACCTAAAATTAAAATTCCCTTTTTCATGTTTCATACAGACCTAAGGAATAAACTCGGAGGATGATGCTTGAAAATGTTTTGCTGAACTTGGTCTGATAATTGTAAGCGGTCTGTCAAACACAAAGCAGGAATTGGATGTGAAAGTTAGAACCATAATAGTAGACCTAAATAAATTCTTCACATTTCACACTGTTAATGTCGCACGTGCTATCAGCAAAATGTTAGTGAAAGTGTCACATAAGGTCTGTCAGTGGATGAGGTTTGGGAAGTGTGACTGAATTATTATGGTAATACACTAATTGTCAATTTAGGTTTTGAAAATGCAATGGTCATGGAAATAGATAAGAGGGATTGTGATGTGATCACTAAATTGGGCCTACTGATATGGACGGAAAAGCGTTTAAACACTGATCATGACATGATCCTCAGCTTTTCATTTTGATGAACCTGAAGTCCAATTAAATATGTCAGCCTTGATTCTAAAATTGCAGCCAAACATTTGGAAGGCAGGAGAGATAGTGTAGCCTTGCTATACAATTTAAAAGTAGAAACACAAATAATTTACCATAAAATAATATAACACGTTGTGCATTAAAATAATTGTATTATTTTATTAAATGGCCATTGAATTAAAGAAATCCTTTACACAGCAATTCAGAATTGTTTAGTGCAAAAATTAAATTAATTCAAGTTGCTACGCAACGAACATCCATAGTCGCGCAGGATCGCGGTGCATCGTGGGAATATCCGAGTGATGCTGATTCAGGAGGAGAGGAGGAGACCGACGAGGATGGAAAATGGTGCAGCAGGAAACGAGATAAAAACTGCAATGACCCTGCAATGAAATAATGCGCCTCTCCAAAGCATCTAAACCCGAAATCTTTATCCGGCGACCAAAGAACAGGTCAGGATTTTAACAGTCCTCTTCCTAATACTGTCACCTCGGCGATGGTACTGTATGCACTCAGTTAGCCATTTGCTAAAGAGCATTTAGCCATTCGCTTGTGTATTGGCACCTTGTCAGTGTTACTGCTGTATAGTAGCTAGCTAACATTAGTAGCAAACGCCCATCGGAGACACTGTGCCTTGTGCGTGTGTTTTGGGTACGGCAGATCCTATGTACGTTATGATATATTTCTTTCGCGGGTTGAGAATCAATGACTGATTATATATTTAACTTAATAAATGTTACACTGTTACTATAATTATAATGAATAATTGACAGCTATGCATCATGATGAAGGCTTTATAAGACACCCTTTTTTCGACCCATGTTGGGAATTGTAGTCTTTAGAGCTTAGAAATCATTAGAATCATGTGCATGTTCCGAACGCCATTTCCCAAAGTGCCATATTCGCGTATCCTAAGAGTTTTTTTTGTACTGATTGTCTGACAATTGTCCCAATGGCTGACCATATAAGCCATTTTGAAGGTTGGTTGAGATGTCCGAGCTGCTCATTGGTTTACATTTGTAAAGGGCGGGTCCAGCTCATTAGATGGATGCAGTTGCTTTGGAAACCAATGCCCTCGTGCGCCGCCTGTCGCGAGAAAGATGTAGAGTACTGGGCGCGTGAAAATCCGGAGGCTGAACTGCAGTGCGGACAAAAAATGTAACCGAGGAAAGGGGAAGCAGGATTGAGCCGGAATCATCTGGTGTGAAATATTAATTAAACAGTTTTTATTTGGACTTATTTGCCTATTATCAATTTGTCGTCCCTAAGTTAAGCGAAAACTGAACTAACGGTCATAGTTACCAGGCAAAAATTGTGTGAAATTTGTTAATGCACCAGCTCCCACCTCGACTTTTCTGTCGTCGTGAACCTTGCGCTCTAATTTATTTAAAAGTATAATTGACCCTGAATATGCGTGGCTCGGTTGTAGGAACGAATTCGAATTTGGATATTGTAGTCATTTTTCTTAACTAAATTACAGCCGGCGCGGGTTTGCCGAACACCGAAATTTTCTTCCAGGGTTTGCAGGATAAATAAAGACGAGGAGATGCGGTGCCGGCCTCCAGAAATCCCGCATAAATCCATCAGAAACCTGTGTGAATAAAGCCAGGTGTCCGGAGAACTGCGGCGCTGATGCTCCGGGGTGTTAAAGGAGCGGATCCCCGCTCGCCTGAATAGGGCGACATCACTGTTTACGGGCTTTCGTTGGTCCTTCACCGTGGAAGGAAGATAAAAAATAAAAACAGAGTCTGCAGTGTTTGGAAACGCGAAGTCCCAGATGAAGGTTACGAAAAGAAGACGGAAAGGAACGGCCGTCTACCTTAGTCTGTGTGCCAGGTAAACGAGCAGCGCCCATGTGGCGATGCGCGATATACTCGGTGCTTATGTAACATCTCTGTGCTTATTTATTACAATTAACTTAGTTTAACTGGCCCGTGGCATCTTTCATGTTATTTCTGAAATATTCATTAAAATCTGAAACTGACTTCGTATATATTCCTACTAATGGACAAAGCAGGCTTGCGACTAATGTTGTTTTCGGTGGCGGGGAACTATGAGCACTGGGACACTTTAATACGAAACACTGTGAACGATAATTTGCGATAACTCGTCATGGTGATAATAATGTTATAATGGAGCAATATGGTTGCAGATTCCTCTGGATCTGATGACGATTCTGTTCAAAATGTATTTAAGGAACTATATTCATTGTCTTTTCTAACACACTAGCAACTTTGCATTCTTGTAATTTCACTAGATATCTGACCCTTTAGGAAATGAGATGGCGTGTGTTATTATTATTATTGTTGCTGTTACTACCCCGAATTTAAGCTCCTAAATGAAATGTTAAGACTCGGATATTAAACTGAATTTCTTTTGTTTAGGAAATCATAAAATTCAGAATGCTTATTTTGAGTGTATTATGAGGAGAGTCCATCACTGACTAATACTGTATGCTTAGCAGTCAGTATCTGTATGCACACGGGCAGGAGAAGCCTCCTGCTTCTGTGCATATGAGCTTGGAGTCTGAGCAAGGGGTGTGTTTAAATGCTGAATGCTGTCTTGTCTTTCACCTTAAAAAAATCAATGATGCCTCACTCCATTCCTGTGAATTATTCTTGTGTCCTTAAGCAATTAAAAGTGTTATGCAGGACTTAGCAGTATAATATAGGAATCCATACTTGCATGCCAATATGGAAAAAAATGTTGGAAATTGAGGCCAACATTAATACTGTAATTGAAATTTGCAATTGAAATTTGCTAAAAGTCCAGAAGAGATTTTCTAAGATCTCCACCCTTAGGACCTCATGGGCTTTAAATGGACAGTCTTGAAGAAGCTTCGCTGTATCTTCGCCTTAAACCCAATGAGTTTGAATACTGATTACAAGTAGTTGATTAAATATTTAACAGCTAGCTTGATTAATGTTTATCACTTTTGCTCCTCTTAGAATTGACCTAAGATTAAGATAACATTTGTGTGGTGGTGTAGTTTGATCAATTACCAAAGGGCTGACATTTTACAAATTGGAGTATCTGTGGTTTAGAAAATATCCTTCTTAATAACAAATCATTTCAGAAAAAAGTTTTTGCCCTCAAGCTGTGGTAATATTACTTGACACAATATTAGTTAAGTAATGCTTTGTGGTAATTGAATAAAACAGTTCATATAGATGAACTGTCCAGTTTGATTCTATTCAGCAGTTACAATGAAATTTCTTCTATTTCTTGACTTGTAGGCTGACAGAGGAGGGTTTTGGAATCGACTAAACTGGGAAACCAGTGCCTAGGATTTTAAGAACCGACTAATAATAATTTTTAATATGGTGAGAGGTTTACATGTTCTTAGAGCTTCTGGAAATGCGGCTGCTGTTTTGCACACAAATCCACTCAAAATGGCTTCTGTGGCATCCTTCCTAGGATTCTGGGAAATGTATTTTTTTGCCTAATCAATAAGGAAATCGGAATGCAGCTACTCTTTGCTTTTTGCGCAACCAAGCCTTCCCCTCTAATTTTGTGATTGTTTCAAAAGGATTTCCCATGAGATTGCACTTTATCTGACATTACTCATGTGAGTCTGTCCTGGGAAGATTATCCACCTTCCTCTCCTCGCACGTTTGCGTAAAAGATCTTTTTGAGAAGTGACCCCTTTAACTAGTAGGCTTAACAACCTAAGAGTCACTGCTCTCATCTCATTGGCTGAAACCATCTGCTTTACTGAGAGGGTATGAAATGTATGACATCACAGCATGCCGCTAGAGGCGCATATGATTATAGAACCTTGCCAGGTTTAGATAATGTCTTGCAGATGAAAAAACTGGTCATTACAGTTATTATGGATGTTTTCCAATATTTTGAAGTGCCACTACTTCATTAAATGCGGTCGCCAGATGGTTATGAATCTTGCTGCGTTTGGTGCTTGTGCAAACAGAATATTTCTAAAACCATGAGTTGTCTTTTGTGTTTTACTAAAGAGTGAGCATTTGTAGTTGGGGAAAAAAAATCTTACTTGTATAGTTATTTATTATTTTGTTACAGCTGAGTGATTTACTAAAATTAGGGAGAGGGAGGTCATCTTGTAAAATGCTTTTGAAATGCTCTCCATCTGAGCGATGGCAAAAAGTACTCAATTGATGACCATATATGTATGATTTGCTGGTGCGTCCAGCTTCTTGCACTCTGAGCTTGTCGCTCCTGGAATTACATCCCTGACCAGGCTCTTCTGATTTCAGCTGGCGGCTTTAATGCATGTATCACATCACGACTGCTTTCTGCCATAGCCGAGTGCCTTTTTTTGTGGGGTGGGGGGTGGTTTGGAATAAACCCATCATACCGGTTTTCAGCAGAATTCTTTTTAAAGACGTTCAGGTAAGAAAGTGGTCGTGAACCTTCCCTGGGTTTAGGTGATTAAAACCAGAAACCTGCCTTAAAAATATGCACATCACACACCTGTGTGGCGTCCAGTATTTTCTGAGGATGCAGAGCCATGCTGAAAGACTCGCAGGAAATGCAGTATGAGGAAATGCAGTGCACTGCTGGAAAGGCTCCTGCTAACTCACTCTCTCTCTCGCTCTCTCTCTCTCTCTCTCTCTCTCTCTATCCCTCTTGCTTTTGCTCTCAGTTCATCTCTCCGGTGCATTTTTGATGCAGATTTTATAACAAGCGTGCATACTGAGCTGAACAGCGTTGCTGGCTATGGAAACTGGCATGGTTTAGGCTCCTAATAAGAACTCTTTCCCCCTCTACCAGTCTGAACCCAGCTGTGCATGGTTAACCTGGGTGCTGCATGCAGATGGTCTGCTCTCTGTCCTAACCTCACTTCCTTCCAATCCCTGTTTTTTAGCTTGAAAAGTGTACGTATGAATATCGGCTTTAAAGTCAATAATGCCTGAAAGGTCAGATGTGCTGCTTCATTACTCAGTGAATAATGGAAACAGACCTTGCACTCTAAAACACTCTAGCGGATGTGTTCATTTTCTTCAGTGATGCACAAGTAATGTATAAAATATGAGAGAACAATGCTTTACAGTGTAATTTGACCAGTGATCTGTAGTGAGTAGTATCCCTCTGCAGGTTTTCACAGTGCCATACGGTAAGTGTAGTTAATCAGGAGTGAACTGTGCACCTAAACAAGAGATCAATGTGAACGCAAGTGTAAAATCTTGTGTAAAGTCACAGCTGTGTTGTGTTTCTTTGCTTCCAGGTTTATTTATTTAGCTGCTTTAAGTGCTCGGACTGACATACGTGTTATTCCCGGGAATAAAAATCTGTGAGAAACATGATGAAGTAATTTTGCAAGACGGAGAGGGAGGCACTCTGGGCGCGGGTGCGCCGTGCGCCTTCCAGCAGTGCCCCGTTGCTGAGCTGTGTCCTTCGCCCCACAGATAAATGGCTCATTTAAGCTGGGAGCTAGCCGAGTCCTCGCCAGCTGGCAGATGCAGTGCCTAGCATCAGCTATCCAGGACGAGACAAACATGAACGGGGCCGGGGAGCAGGCTGACATCCTGCCTCCCAACTGCATGGTCAAGGACCGATGGAAAGTGGTGAGTGATGGACAACCCCTCCCCCATCCTATAACTGGGCTTCACAGCAGCTACAGAAGACCTGGCTGAAAATGAGCTGGTCCCTTCAGCTGAATCTACATTTCTGAATCTTTCAATTCAGTTGCAGTTTAAACTCTCAATCTCAATTTTCCTCGTCACAGTTAATGCGGATTCTTTTAAACGGGTCAATTTCATGTGCAGTTCTTCAAATAATAAAAAATATTTAGAGAAGATGTTTGGACCAAGTCCTGACATGTCACAACCATGAAACTTACCAGTAAATGTCCTTGACATTGTGGCAGGCCTGAAAGGAGGAGCACTGGGATCTTTCTCTCACTCACACACATGATCCTCCGCAGTAGGTTAGTGCAGCACAACCTTGAAGTGTCCTTTCATGTTCTTTGATGGGTCCTACTGAATGTTTAGGCTCCTGGTCTTATGAAGCGTTGGGGAATGTTTGGTAGCACAGACTTGGGGATATAGACCAGCGGTAGCACTTGTCTCATGATCAACTGTGGTCAAGCAGTCAAATTCACTGTGTGAGTAAGGGTTTTGTGGGCATCTCCTGAAATGGGTGTAACTGACTAATTTGTTGGCCTTTCACAAAATGTTATTCATTGGTGTACGACCTCCTGAAAGTGGTAGCGCATCTGTGAAATGTTTCCGATCGATCCATCCATCTCCTGTAACTGCTTAATCCGGTGCTGGGTCATGGTGAACTTGGAGCTGGGAAGCACAGGGCACGATGGGGGGGGGGTGCACCCTGGACAGGATGGCAGTCTACCATGGGGCACGTGCACATGACTTAGAAGCACTGGTTCACCAAGGTCGTTTGTCTTTGGACTGCAGAAGGAAACCGGAATACCCGGAGGAAACCCACATAACAGTCAGAGGGCAACCATTTTCCACAGAGATGCACACGCATACAGACGCTCTTTGCTTCCGAGTTCTTTCTGGTCATGGAAGTCAAAGCTGCAGTTAATAAGTCTGAGTTTCCGCCCCTTGAAGGTCTTCATGAACCTTTTTTTTGTGGGTAGTCATGGATGACCTGCTCTTTGCATTTACAGTCAGTCTCACATGGCTGGTGGCCCCCACACCCGGCATGCCTATCAGTCACTGGCACGCCGATGGAAGTGTTTTAAGGGTGTTCAGGATGTCCTCTGCCGGTCGCCGTGGCTGCAGCACCGGTCGTAATGTTGATATGTGTGGGAGTGTACACCACGGCGCCATCTTGGCAGGCATTAACGCCAAAGTCGCTGGGCTGGAGCTGGCCATGTCTGTGCCCCAACGATCACTAACGGCTCCTGTGTGCCTCACCTCGCTGTCCTGACAAAAGTGCAGAGGACCGGGCCAAATGGCAGCCCAGAGGTCTGCTCTGAGTACGGCACAAATAATGGCTGTGTATGGTTTGCTAAAACGGGACAGTAGTTAATTTCCTTCTCATTGTTTCTTAATACTTGTATAGGCTACTTTGTCTTCACTTTGTGACTTAAAATTACCTTGTGCAAGGTGAAGCTCCTGATGTACACTGATATTTGATTTTATGTACATTGATACAATCAAAACTCATTTTTCTTCTAATGATTCAGGGGCATATGTTATGAACTTCTTAGGAAGCCCAAGTGCGCAGGATAGGAAATAAACAGATACAATAAAAATCTTGAGAGATGAAGGCTGGTCATGTGTCCCGGGTGCCTTTTTATTTTTTTTGTTTTTCCCCGTTTTTGTCACGGCCAGCTGAAGAAAATTGGAGGCGGCGGGTTCGGGGAGATCTACGAGGCCCTCGACCTGCTGACGAAAGAGAATGTGGCACTGAAGGTGGAGTCGGCTCAGCAGCCCAAACAGGTTCTCAAGATGGAGGTCGCCGTCCTGAAGAAACTGCAAGGTAGTGCAGCACACTGGGGTAACAGCTTGGGGGCGCTGCAGTGATGGGCGCCCTAATTCTGGCCGGCTCGCCTGTATTAAGCCAGACTTTGAAATGTAGCCGTATGAGTAGCTATTTGCTTGTTGTTCATGCCCATGTTTGCTGCACGGACCGAGTTCGACATACCCCACGAGAATAAGAAGACATTAAATACTTATAAAATTAATGGCTTTCAGCCCTTTTTTTTTTTTATAAGAGCAGTAAACCAGTTGGTTTTGTGTTATTCCTTGCTTTTGTGGCAATAATAGCCAATTCTGTGTTTTTGTCTTGAGTATACCAGTGTGTCAGTGTCACATGATTTGTAATGTAACAGCATAATGTACCAATTCCTTGCGTAATGTTTTGTATAAAGGCGTAAATGAACAAAATACCATTGTAGGCTGACCGTATCACCATCTGTTATTCCAGTGCCAGGGATATTTGTTAACTATAATGACTTCACTCGCCATCAGAATAAAAAGGGTATAGTACTGAGACAGTTAGAGCACAGTCAGTGTCTGCTGGGTCCATCTCTTGGACCATGAGTTGAAACTTTAAGTTACTTTAAGGGAGCGTGCCATCTCTTCGTCAACCAGTGCTTGACGTTTATGGTCAGGGATTTACAGAAGGTGGAGGAGCAGTGCTATCGATCGCTCCCTAAAGATTTGGTCGCCATGGGATATCACGGATCTTCCAAGTGCTCCGTCAGCTTGGTGCAGTGGTGAAAGGCATGCGACCCTTGGCCACCCACGGTGGCTGATAAGGTGTCTGGTAGCTCATCATGAATAGCACTTCCTGATCGGTATGACAATATGCATTTTTCCCCGAAGATTTGTATTGTGTCGCTTTTTTATACTAGGTAACTTCCAATTTTTATCCATTTATACAGCTGGTTGCTTCACTGGAACAACTCAGTAACAAGCATTTTTCAAGGGTACAACATAGTCCACGTCCTTAACCATTATGCGACCTGCTGCCTTTTTTGGGCATGGAAGCTCTTTCGCCAAAAAGAAAGACACGCTTTGTCCAAAGCAGGCACTGATGCTTCCTCACTGTTAACAGAGCTCCATCTGTGCAGTGTTTAAATACAGTCCCCCTGCTGCAGTGCTGCTGGTTTACATATTGGTCTGATTATATTGGAGCAAAGAGAGCCAAGCTCTCCCTGTCCAGATAAAGCTCTAAAACCCTGTACAGCTAAAACCCACATCCGTGGCATTATTACCAGTCTACCAGGCGCAGAGGGTATGGGAGTCCGAACCGCAAAGCCTAAAGCACTGTTAAGCCAGTGCATCCTGCTCTAAGGGAATGCCGACAGGCGCCTCTGTCATCCTGTGGCTATGAAATGCCAAAGTTGAGCTCGCAGGCTGTTTATTAGTGATAAATGCTAATTTGAAGTCTTAGAGTACTGTAACACAGTGCGACTGTAAAAACCTTGTGCTGTGTAAAAGTGTGCTCTGATTGGTCAGCTTGCCCTGCACATTCCAGCCCTGCCTTGCAATCGGCAGATGGATTTTTGCAGGTAGGCGGGCAATAAGGATTGTGTTACGTGGTGACCTCACCATGTCACAGACCTGAGGGCTGGAATTCCGACGACGCATTTCAGGCAGATTAGGGAAGAGTGGTTTCTGTGGTGAGAGCTGGCGAGTACTTTGGGCCTTGAGACTATGCAGACTGTTAACATGCACAACAAGTTATACAACACAATAAAATAAAGGAAAAACTGGAAAAGCATAGTAGGGGGACCATTGATGGAAAGATGTGCTGTTTTAGAGATGCGGGCCTCGAGTTATAGTACCTGAGTCAGCTGGATGACAGGGTTTCGGAGTGGCCCCCTATGGACATGTGATAGCTACGGGCACTTTAAAGGTTGATGATGATGGTGATGGTTATCTGCACACATACCCCTGCTGCCTCATTTGCTCTGGTGTCCTTCATCCGAGCGTTTCCACGTGCCTCGACAGCGCTGTGTACTAGTGAACGTGTAAGTCTCTCATGGTAGTTGGGCAGGGATATGGCCTGGACCAGTCTCTTAGTGGATAGGTTGGTGGAGGATTGGATCCAGACTCTTCTTTCTGCCTCATTTGTGCCTAATTATTTTTTTTTCTTTAAAGGAAAAAATCATGTGTGTAAGTTCATCGGCTGTGGACGAAATGAGAAGTTCAACTACGTGGTGATGCAATTGCAGGTAGGTGCAGCAGTTTTCTCCAGCCTGCTGTGAGCTTGCCGTTTATTCTCTAATATCCAAGAGGCACCACTTGCATTTTTTAAATTTCCAGTGGCTGTAGTTAAGGGTAGAGAGGATTCTAGGGAAATAGAGTCTACAGGAAGAGTCTTAGGGGAGAAATCATTTTGCTGGTGTCAGGGTTCAAGGCTAACTTTTGCATTTAGGTGCACCACCACAAAATATAGCAGCACCCAAATTTTTCACAACACTGGGTGTGATATGGTCTTAAATAGTTGAGGCATGGCCACCAAATGGGGATGCAGGGGGGGTCTGATGGTTGTTTATTGACAGAGAAAGCATCACTGTGGGACGGCTTTCTGAACTGGATCACCAAATCGCATGACACGGAGACTCCGGAATGGTCCGGAGTCTGATCTGGGCAGACAGTGGTAGTTCTGACAATACGGCTTGTGGACAAACAAATGTGAAGCTTCCGTTTTGGTGGGAGAGGGAGGCTGGTGCTGGAAGTGCAAAAAGCTGACGGTGAAGACATTTAGGTCTGGTGTAAAGGGGGCTGAGCATGACAGTTACTGTCAAAACAAAACAGCTCACTGATGTATAGTGACAGCAGAATGAGGAATGGACAGAGCAAGTTTAATGCACATGTGTAATAACATTTCAGACCACTAACACACCCTCCCAGGCTGGCCCCCCTCCCACCCCCACCTTCCATACACGCACCCCCCAGATCTCCAAGTGTTCTCTGATAATTTCATTCCGTTGGTATAATACCACAAGCATCTGCAATCCATCTTATAAACCCACTTTAAAAATTATCATCATGCCTCATGCCCATCGATCGCCTCCCTGCTCATATGCTCGATGCCAACGATTCTGCGGAAATAAACCGGCCGTCTCGGGGAAGTCCTGCGCAGTGTCAGTGCCGCGCTGTTCCTGATGCCGCCGGCGTGTGCTTGAGGGCGTGGTGATTAGCTGATGCTGGGAAGTGGCCGGGCGATAAGGATTCCATGAGTGAGTGCTGCTTCTCAGGTAAAGGGTAAAGTAATCCTAGGAAAAATTGTGCAATACAGTGATTTTATATATAATAATAATAAGAAATATTATTATGTAATATATAATAATTATATATAATACCTCCAAATCAGTGGAATCAGAAAACAAGTGTCAGCAAGCTTTTACATCAAAAAACATGTTTAGGAATGTTTTTTAAAAAGTCTTAAAAAATTATTATTCAAAAATAGTTTACATTTATCTTGATAGAATAACTGACATTTTCATTATATGAATCTATATTTAGCTTGATAGTGATATGTTTTATGGATTATAGCTGTATGTTTAGCTAGTTAAGAAATATTGACATTTTATTAGATTAATCATGTATATTTTGTGTTTTATTGATTATTATTTAAAGAGAGTGAACTTTTTCTAAATACCAGGCTTCTTATTTCCTCTTAATTTCTCTTGTCCAAATGGAAGATGTTCGGCTTTCTCATTTATTTATTTTAAGAAGTGACACTTTTTACACGTACCATTTCAAAAATGTTTCAAGTTTCAGCTATATTAAAGCATTTGTTCATCCAAAATAACCCTTGTTTTCATTCCTTTACGGATCATCGTAACTGATGATGATAATAATAATATTAATAATTATAACAACAACAACCATAATAATAATAATTAATAGTATTCCATGTCAGCATTAATGCAATGCATTATTCTTATTATTATTATTATTGTTGTTGTTATTGTTATAATTTTGAAATTCCGTATACTATGATACCGTGAAGTTGTGATATTTCCTGAGACGATTATCTTATCATGAAAATCTCATACAATCGCAATATTTATGCCATATTTTTAGTGTTCCAAATAAGCAGTTGTAAGCAGTTGACTCAAAATAATATTTATACATAGATAAAAAAGCAAAGAATAATAATTTAAATAGGACAAATATTTAAAGCAAATATAGCAAATATATCTTTTTTTTTTAAAGATGATCTCTTAGGGATACCCCATGCAAAAGCAAGCTGTTCACATTTTAAATAGTTTGTATATAACATTTTTAACATTTTGCGTTTTATATTTTTGCCTTATTTTTGAACAGGAAGGACAGTGTGCAATTTTTATGTCGCAAACATACTGTAAGGGTGATATTTGCAATGTTTGGTCGCAGTACATTGAATGTATGTCAGTTTATTGATGGTATGACTTATTGGATGCAGATCTACATGTTACGGCGCATGACTGAGGTGTTAAGCAAGCTGAATGTTTTTTTTTTGCGCATGTTGTCTGGCGTAGCTCTGGTTTAAGGAATGAATCCTGTAGAATGTTTCTAATGCAGGGTTTTTGTTTCCATGGTAATAAGTAATTAGTTCAGGTTTGTTTGACTGATGCACTTATATCAAAAGCAATTGTTGAATTTCTAGGGTATTTGTGGGCTGGGTTTAAATGAGCAGTTGTGTGTTAAAGGACCTACATAATTCTGCAGACTCATTCATTATGAAGACATTTTGGTCTTCAGATCCGTTTTATGTAACTGTGAGGGAGAATTGAATCTTTGTAAGCTGTTGTGGGTGGCAGTTTATTTTTAAGTTTGACCCGATGGGAAGTAGGTTTAAACCAGGCTTTTTGGCCAAGCTTCACAAGTCCCACTCATGTTTTCCACGTGTTTTCCAAACACCAGTATTACTGTATAATGTAAAAAAAAAATCGCCTTCTGTATGCATCAAATTTCATTTAATTGCGGTACAAAATGTTTTGCCACGTCTTTCAAATTGCATGTGTTAGTGAAATTAGCTATCTATGAAGAGGCGCAGGCAGGTGAACAGACCTCAGTGAAGACCACATCTCTCTGATTGGTCCAGCTCAGCCACAGGCCGGCCAGTGTCTGACAGGTTCTATATTCTGCACGGTAATGGCGGGTTCCTCACGGATCCCATTTTCTTTTCTGCCACAGGGAAGAAACCTCGCCGACTTGAGAAGAAGCCAGCCACGGGGAACCTTCACCATAAGCACAACACTGCGTCTCGGAAAGCAGATCCTGGAATCGATAGAAGCCATTCACTCCGTTGGGTTCCTGCACAGGGACATCAAACCTGTACGTTCTCCTGTCGGAGCCGCACACTGCCACACCTTTTATTTCAAACAGGAGGATTTTTTGCTAACTTAGCTGCCATACTTTCTCAGTGATCAGGGCTACCCATGTAGCACTTAGTGCAGAATAATCGTGAAAGTGAATCTGAAATGCTTGCCATGCAGTGAATTTTAGCTCCATGTCAGGCTCAATTCAAAACCTTATAATGAAAATATCTGTTGCAATCATATTCCATTTGTGAGTTAAAGTATGGAGTCTTGGGGCATGTGAGAATCTTCTGAAGCAGGTAGTTTTTAAGTGTTTTATTCAAATTTTGATATGGAACAGGATAGCTAAAAATAAGTTTAAGGCTGGCTGCTCTCCAGTTTGCTTATCTTCTGCAGTACTTTGAATTTTATACTTGTTTTAATGAGGTATTCTAATACCTGTGATCTTAATATACATAAAATGAAACATACTATAAATCCAACACGCGTGTTAGTATGTGTGCACGTGAACCCAGCTGCTTAGTGTGTGTAAGTATCCGCAAATCACACAGATTGCTCGGTGACTGTGCTGTTGACTTGGTTTTGAAGGTCTTTGGGTCCGAGGTCCTGGAGTTTCCATTTCTTTGCTGCTTGTTAGTAGCGTTTTTTATTTTATTTTATATTATTTTATTTTAGGTGGTATTGCTCAGTTAGCTGTCATCTTGGTGATTTACTCAGTTTGCATTCTCTTCCAGTCGAATTTCGCGATGGGAAGGCTGCCTTCCACGCACAGGAAGTGCTACATGCTGGACTTCGGCCTGGCGCGGCAGTACACCAACACCAATGGAGACGTCCGGCCTGTGAGTGGGCACCCCCTTTCTTGCATTTTTAGAACTGTGAAACGTGTGTTTATATAGAAATGTTTGATGGTGATTTTCATGCTAAAATAGAGAGGCATGTGTTACTGAGCAATACGAGATATTTGCAGCAAAAGGTCCCAAAGTTTAAAGATGGTGTGTTTTATACAAGGCTTTTACTTGTCATTCTGTGTGGGAATCCTGCCGTTGGAGATGCAAATGACATGCCTTTATTTCTGTGCTGTTTATAAAATACTTTCACTGGGTTAATTAACAGCTTTTCCACTTCCACGAAATTATGCAGAACAGGTACTACCGAAGTCCCGGTTTTGTGAAATGAGAAGGATATCATTTGAAATAATTGTTCTTTTAAAAATAAAATTAATTAAAATAAATACTCAAAATAAAAATAAAGTTATGTATGCCTAATAAACCCATTTTATTTAATGAGAGGGACAAAAATGATCACAGTAGAAGGTCATCGAGACAATAAAACATTTTTAAATGCATCTGATTTAAAAAAAATAATAAAATTCCGAAACAGGTTCCTCCTCTCCCGGAGCTGCTGCTCATGCCCCCCCCCCCCGCCTCCGCCTGCTGCCGTTACCATTTTTCACCTGCCGGTGCCTCCTGTTCGCACCCGCCCTGCTGAGCGCTGCAGTAGAGGCAGCCTCTATTTGCCCCTGCATGTGCCTTTGAAGGCCAGGCAGGTGTGGGTTTCAGATTGTTTTTTTTTTTTTAATTCCCCCCCCTCCCCCCCAGCTGATTCAGCACCAGCTCCTTGTGGATCGCGCACTGAAAGCCTCTCTTGGCTGCCCGATCGTGGGCGGGGCGTGCCACCCCAATGACCTTCAGTGGCTCGCGGCCATGGGGGCTATGCTGGGTGCCTGGAAGCCAGCAGCTAAATCTTTCAACGGGGTATTGTAGCAAGGACGGGGGGGGGGGCATCCCAGGCACGTCATCATTTTTTTACTTCTTGTATTTGTCCCAATTTGTTACTTAAATAGTTGAATATTTCATATTTCTAAAAAAAGGTCCAAAACCTGATTAAATTCCAGTTATCCTATAATGAGTTTATATGAACCAGCACTCACTTTAACATGCTAAGGGCAGTTATGGAAGATTTTCGTGCAGCACTAATGCAATTAGTATTGGCCCAGACCTTACAAATAGCGAGTCGGCCTGTTTTAACTTGCAGATATAACTCATTTGCATGTCGATCTGTCGCCGTGGTAATGTGATCCAAAGGTCAGAGTGCAGGAGCTGGTGATGAATTTTTCTGGGCTTTCTGGTCAACTGCTGCTGCTTTGTATCATAAACACCCGCGCCAATGCGATATGTGACCTTCCCAGAGCTTCTCTGTTCTGTTTACTTTATGGGCGGTTCATTTAGCGCCCCGATCAGAAGTGTCACTTAACATCTGTGTGTCTGCCCAGCGTAATTGAGTCCAAATTAGCTTCAGGCTGCTGGGTTTGGTGCTCGGGTGAATTTGATTGGATGCACTCTCCTGGGTTAACGGTTTATTTTGCACTTCAATTAAGTGTCGCCGTCATGAGCTTGAGGTTGGAATGTGATGGGAAAATTAAATGGGACTTTCCCTTCACCAGTTTACTAGCCCAAATTACACTTTATGGAAGCTGAAATAATAAAGTAAAATCAATGCTGGGGGGGTCAGATCTTATGAAATAGTACATTTATCGTACAAAATACAAACCTAAACATGAGAACAAGATTTTAACCAGTACAATGCTCCAGCTTTCTTAAAAAAGTGGGGACAATTAGTGTACATATGTGTAAACAACGTTATTAAATAAAATTACATTTCCCCCTGGAATCAATAAAGTTAATCTTAATAGTAATCTTAATAAGTTTATAAATGGGACATACAGTATGATGTGAATGCTGACTGCCTTTTTGCCTTTTAGTTCTCACCCTCCCAGTTTGCCCAGTGGCAACAGCCAAGCAATTCGTTTGAGAGAAATACAGAGAAACATAGCCCAGTACTCTTAGGGAACACAATAGGTGTCCTGGGATCCTGATGCTGGTATTCCAGTACCATGAAATAGCTATTTTTTCAGACAGCAGGCAAGTATTCGTTTTTGAATAGTACAGCATTCGAGGGTTTTATTTGTCACATGCAAGGTATAACTAAATGGGGAAAACATCGACTGAAATTTGATTTTATGTATTCGGGCTCGGCCACCGTCTGTGCGGATGCAATCTGAAACGCCGGTCAATTATTTATGACTCCTTGTTGAATATTCTTGAGACGAGCATCCCCACCATGTGATGAGGGTCAATTGTGATAGGTGGAGGCAGCATGGGGATGCGCTCTTATTGGCTCACAGGGAATCAGTCCATTTTCAGAGAAGGTTTCTCTCTTGAGTCTCTAGGGTGTGGCTTCCAGGAGTCTTGCACAGTGTCATTGCGTTAAGAGCTTTGGAGTTGTCTCCCCTGTACCCCAGAGCATTAACACATCCCTCCTGTCACTGAAAACAATCTCAAGCTGGATTTATATAAGGAAAAAGAGGGTTTTAATCGCTCATAATAAATGTATGGTTAATGTACAGAGGTCGTGTCAGTGAATGATTTGTTTGTTTGAGTTCATGCCTGTTGGTTTGGTTTTAATTTCCTCAGTTTTTCTTGTGTCATTGTTGCATTTTGTCTCTGTTTCTTTTGACTCGTGTTTTTTTATGTTTTGCAGTTGTTGTTTTTTTTTTTTCTTTTTTAATTTTGCAGCACATGCTTGACCTGTTTCTCCCATCAGCCGCTCGCTCTGGCCGCGGTTACGGTGTGACGGAGCGGCACCGTGAGTGCCATAACCGACCGCTGACCCCCCCACCCCTATCCCCAGAGCAGGGCTTCCCCCCCTTGCTCAAATTCAAAACCTTCAAGTCAAAAGCCTTCTCTCACCCTCAGTTTACAAAAATATTTATAGAAAAACTCTTCTGCCATTCTTTCTTCCCCTCCTCCCCTCTTCCCCTCTTTCATTCACCACGTAAATGATGTAGTGACGCATTGCTGCACACTCTTGTCAGTTGCCTCTGGGGGACTGTGTTGTGAAAGGTTCTATATTAAAATAAATTGAAGTGAATCGAAAAATTAGTTAAGCAGTCTCTCCATTTTTTTGTATTCGGCATGTATGTTAGGTACTTAGCTGACTATTTGAGGTTTTTCAAAGTCATTTACACAGTGGGATTTACTTAAGCTATTATATTTAATTGCTGCACTCAAGGGTACAACAGCTTGCCCTTCTGGGACCTGTGCTGCCAGCTTCTGGGTTCCTGAACCATTTCCCTGTCACATGGCCCTGGTTTACTTACATATTATGCCAAAATACAGTTAACACAGTAGCTATAATTTGTATGATATTTCAGCAAGCAGTGGCCCTGCCCTCTCAGAACCCCTCCCTGCTTACACTGTGGAGTTAGCTGTGTCCTAGAAGGCATGTGGGGTTGAAATGGTGCATACAGAGGAGACATGGAACACCACTGCCCCCCCCCCACCCCCAGCTCTCAGCATGTGTCAGAAAGTCTAAAACACCTCTATTAAGTTCCCTGCTTGCCCCGCCTTTCTCCTTTTGTTACTTTTCATGTAAATTATGTTTAATTTTCCATTAATTGCATCATTCATTATTTCTTGCCGCATTTCTTAATGTGTGGGAGATAAAATCCAAGAAAGCAGTGATGCTCGAGTATAATCTCACCACGACGGTTCATACAGAAGGCCGAGTTATTACATGTGTGCTCTGCGAGTCGCAGTAGACACGTGAGAGAGGCTCGCCTCAGGGTTCTGAAGGGTTAAGCTTTGAAATGCTCAGCCTGAGGAAGGCATGCATGTGTTCTGATGGTGTTTCCTGCATCGTTCTCCTCCTCCCAGCCGAGATCTGTCGCAGGATTTCGGGGGACGGTCCGCTACGCCTCGGTCAACGCGCATAAAAACAAAGTAAGTGTTCAGGTGGTTCAGAATATCGCCGTCATTCCTGGTTCACCACAATATTATGTTCCTCCTTATTCATGCGGAGTCCTTAGTCTTGTTAATTTTTTGCTGGAAATATTATTTACTAAATCAGATTTATCGAGAAATATTTATGTGTCTTTTTCCTTTTTTTTTTAAACAGGAAATGGGTCGCCATGACGATTTGTGGTCTTTATTTTACATGTTGGTAGAGTTTGCCGTTGGTCAGCTGCCGTGGAGGAAAATAAAAGACAAGGTAGTACAGTTACTTTAGGTGTCTCTCACATGCCGGATCCGGCTTCGGGTGTTGGGAGCTGCTTTATAGGCTCCGGTGTGTCCATTTCAAACAGGAGCAAGTGGGGCAGATCAAAGAGAGGTACGACCATCGGATGCTGCTGAAGCACATGCCTTCTGAGTTTCACACCTTCCTGGACCATGTGCTGAGCCTCGACTACTACACCAAGCCGGATTATCAGGTGTGCCACATGGGTGACTCTCTGAATAATAATAATAATAATAATAATAATATATAATAATATAAAAATGTGGTGAGGGAAAGCGAATGGTCAGGACCTTTTCAGAGCTTCTCCTCAATGCCTTTCAGATCAAATCGCCATTGTTAGAGCTATTTCTTTGGACTGTTTCTTTGAACAGAAGCATGTTTAATAACATGCTGTTTGACAGAGTTCTGAAGGAGTTACAGTGAAGGGACTTTAGCCAAGCTAAATTCATGGGTTGGGGTTGGCATGTGTAGCTAGCAATCTCATGACCCCCACCCACCCCGTTTCTGTGTTTTTCAGCTGTTGATGTCGGTTTTCGAGAACAGCATGAAGGAGCGCATCATCACAGAGAACGAGCCCTTTGACTGGGAGAGGGCGGAGACTGACTCAGTGATGTCAACCAGCACGTCCACGCCCCCCCAACACAACACGCGGCAGACGGCCGCCATGGTGGGGTGAGGCTGACCTCCGACCTTGTCCCGCTGCATAGGCCTGCATTGCGGATGTCTGGCAGCTTGTGAGCATGTCTCCATGATGAGGCCTTTGTGCAGACGCTGCTCCGTGCAGCCGGCAATGCGCAGCTGCTGCAAACGCCCCCCCACCCCGGTCCCCCCTGGGACTCCATTAGGCTCCGTTCCTCGCTCGATGCGGGATCTCACTGACGATCAGACTGCGGCAGATTTGCGGACGCTGAAACGCGGCGTGGGCATTGGCAAAGACGGCGGCTCCGCAGCGCCACACTAACCACCAAATGTGATCGTGCCCAACAGGTGTCACGAGTGACAGCTGCACATATGCGGGGGATTGTGTTGGAAAGTCCCCCTTTTTCAGCCTCCGTGAGCAGTTTACTGCCAATAGTGGAAACATTTTGCCATTTGATGCTTTTCTAAATGTTTCCTAAACCTCTTAAGTGGTCCATGTTCATTAAAATAATTCTACGTTATGTATAAAATCACAACAAACAAAGTTCTCCAAAAACAAGCAGGAGGAAAATTGCCATTCCAGTGGTTCGCCAGTTGTTCATACTGGTGCTCTGGTCCTATATGAACAGACTAGTTTCACCGATGCACACGCACACATATAATCGATACAACGAAAATGCGAGGTGAATTAGGGTGACCCTGGACAGTCACATGACCCTGGACAGTCACATGACCCTGGACAGTCACATGACTCACCTCCTACTGGTAGCCCACAGGGAGTCAATAAGTGGCTCACATATCACTTCTTAGAAATCAGATTAATTTTATCACCCTCCTCATGTTTAAGGTTTGCTGAGTATGTCTTTGAGTGTTTCAGATCCACATCTGGTCTCTCCGGTCTCCTTGCCTTGATTTTTTGATTATGTTAATTAAGAGTAATTATAATATTGAATAGAATGGAGGCTGTTGTTACTAATTGACCTTAATTAGCCATTATTAATTTCTACACATACTAAACCATCCTGGCTTATTGTGTCTTCATAAATGTCCGTTTTCAATGCCTGACAAGTTCATTCAAGGTGTATTTACATTTAGCTTCTTAACTACTGTGCCACCTGCTGTTCAGTGGAGTGTAGTAGCACACAGTGATGAGGGAGCTCCTTGTCCCAGGGTGGTGAATGTGACGCCCATACCTGGAGACGTGCAGAGGGAGAACACGGACGATGTGCTGCAGGACGAGCACCTGAGCGACCAGGAGAACGCGCCCCCCACGGCCCCCGGCCGGCACGCTGAAGGCGGCCTCATGCCCCCCGAAGGCGAGGGCTGGGAGGACACCGATTTCAACCGCAATAAACTCAGGATCAGCATCGGCAAGGTATGTCACCCCCCCCGCCCCGGGGGGGCATTGTAACGCGAGCGAGAGGGGAGAGGAAACAGGAACAGGAATACGGATTTATCCTGCCCTTATGTGTCATACACCTGCACTTTTCTAAAATATGACCTTGGAGATGATTATAATGTTTATAATATTTTATGTTTTGCGTAAAATTTTGTAAAAAAACGTGCCCCTCATGTGTGACCCCCCTTGTCCACCCAGGCGCAGGTCGGTGCAGAGGAAGAGCACGGCCCCGGGCCATACCCCACCGCCCCAGGACAGGGGGGCCTGCCAGAGACTCCCAGCATGCAGATGCGCTCTGCCCGCTACCAGCGTGCCCACAGCCCCGAATCGGAGCGACTATCTGCCGCCGAGGGCAGAGCTGACGGCCACGACAAGCGGTGAGCAGCCTGTGACCTCTGACCCCTGCCGCTACATATTAAAACTCCTTTATTGCTCAGAAAAAACATATACATTCTATAATATTTAACTGAATCCTTAGCGGATGCCAATGAGATTTAATCCCTAAATCATTTTTGCAATCAGATATTGTCACCTGGAAAAGGTGCCTGATCTTAAAGGGGCCATATTATGCTCATTTTCACTGTTCATAATTTTATTTTTGTAGTCTGCTAGAATAGATTAACATGCTTCAACATTCCAGTCTGCAGACAGATCCTTGCAGGTAGGCGGCCAATAAGGATTGTGTTATGAGGTGACCTCACCATGTCACAGAAGTAAGAGCTGAAATTCCAGCAAGGTGTTTCAGGCAGATTAGAGAAGAGTTCTAGTACTCTCTTTGGCATGTACTTTGTGTCTTAAGACTTTGCACATAAAGCTGTCTAACACACTAAAGGAGCGGGAAAGCATATTAGGGCCCCTTTAATGTGTCTGAGTTTTGTTTAGTGCCAGTAGGAGCCCCCACAGTGATGAGTAAAATGCCCCACGTGCACGCATGTTTCTGCCTGTGTGCACACATGTTCTCCCCGGTAGGTCGCGTATGGACATGCTGGGCTCCCCTTCCCGGCACCTGTACTCCTCGCAACCGGCACAGATGCTGTCTTTGGAAACGGTGCATGGGGACCGGCAGGCCAGCGGTCGCCTGGAGGTGTCGGCCTCCGTGGAGCACGAGGCGCTCAGCAACGCCTTCCGCTCCGTGCCGCTGGCCGAGGAGGAGGACTTCGACAGCAAGGAGTGGGTCATCATCGATAAGGAGGCCGAGCTGCGCGACTTCCACCCGGGCGCTGAACCCACCACCTCGGGCACCACTGACGAGGAGCCAGAGGAGCTGCGCCCCCTGGAGGATGGGGAGGAGCGGCGGAGGCGCGGTGCCGTTGGGGAGGTGGTGGTACGGCCCAAGGAAGGCCGGGTCCGGGGCATGCTGCCGCTAGCCGAGGAGGACGCCCTCCGCAGAAGTCCCACCCGCCGCCCGTCCAGCTCAGAAGGGCCTGGCCCGAGTCCCGCCCAGTCGCCCTGCCACTCGCTGCCTTCCACACGGCCCAAGCGCAGGGAGTCGGACCCCACTGGACCACACAGACTGGTAAGATGCCTCCTTATTGGTTGGGGGGAGGTTGGGGAGGGTTGCCTAAAAGGGTGGATACCCCACCCGGGAGCCTGAACACCCCGTGTGCTTTCATCGGTGTTCACCATCACCCCTCCCCGACACGGCTGCCATGGGGGTAAGGTAAACAAGATGTCACACTGACAGGTTTTAGCTGCATCATTGCCACGGTATCCAAAGGTGGCGTTTTAAGATCACGTCCAGCCGGTGAAGAAATAGACACTTCTGTCCAATGGTACTCCCTTCCTCACAGAGCCTTGCCGAAATGGGTTCAAACCACCACAGACCTCATGTTTTTGACATCCCTGATTTGCCCACATCCAGAAAGCCACATCCAGGCTTCAGAAGTTGTTTTCTGCAGCAATTTGTTTTTGTGTGTAAAAAACAAATTGTGCGGTTGACTTTGGGTTAAGATGGGTTTCAGTCTTGAGCAAACTGCCTAAGTCTCAATATTGGGGTCCTCGCATCCTGAGGTGACTTTGGGGGGGTGTCTTCATGTTGAGAGTTGTATGCTTCTGTGCCCTGCATCATAACTCTTCATTACTCCTCATCCTCGTGCAACAACAAATGCAACATTCAGCTACAAAAGGGATGTTGTAGTTTTTAATTTCTCCCAAGTCACCCTTTAATTGACTGGAATCACGCAGTGCACAGATAAGCTCATTGTGGATGTATGGTCTTTCTTGGGGGTCCGTACACCTCAGGGCAGGGAAGTGATGCAAGGTTGCTAAGTCATGTTCCCCACCTCTGTGAATGGTGCATATTTTGGGGGGAGGGGTGACGAAAATTTGGAAGAAATTGTGAAGAAAATACCCCTTGCCCCCCCACCCCCTGGCCTGAATTTTCCTCTTTGAGTTGTTGGCACTGCTAAATTAAGAGCCATTGGTCTTGGCAGATGGTTGTGCTCTAAGCCGGGTTTCCTTGACCATCTGGTTGGGCCCCCAATACCAGAAGGTTTTAAAGCTCAGCCCACATAGGCTTGCTGTTCCACGAGAGACTTGACAAAGTCATACCTGGGTGGTGGTTTGTACTCCACGGGACATGGAGTTCCTCTTCCCACCTCTTCGAAACAGACGGGAGAGAGCTGGAGCTTCTCAGCGAAGCTGTTCGTCCTGCCATTTTTTTCCCCGCTTTGTGCTCCAGAAGCATCTTCATCCATGAGCAACATGGGCACTTCATTCAATTTATTGTAATTTCAGAGTTTCTGCTTTGCATTAAACCCGTTATGGTGTTTGCATGAGATCCTTATGATGCCCCCTCCTCCTGGTACAAGCATATGTGGCTTGTGATGGCTCTGGATTTCCGGACATTTCTCTGCAGTCGCTCATGTTCATGCCTGGCCAGAATGGATTACACAGGAAGGTAAATCCCTGAATCCTCCGCCCCCGCCCCCCCCCCCTACAGTTCAGGCACAAGTTTTATTTCTCCAAGGACTGTTCCTATTATTTGGAGTGCTTAACCACATCTTACAAATTGCAGTTTTCACATTGCGGATTGATTTTTCTTTCTTTGTAAAATGAAGCTTTCAAAGCATACTCAACTAGTTGGGCTAATCGTAAACTAAAGCCTAAGAGCAGCCAATTGCGTTTGCACCGTTGACATTTCGCTGAAGTGGATAACAGTTAGGGATGAAAAAGCTTATTCCTCTGCAGTAAATGACACCCTTCTGCTTTTGTTCATTTTCTCATATGAGATCCACATTAATGAAGGAAGAGATTTGCTTTCTGAAGACCAGTGTTCAGTTAGACTGGTGTTCCGTGTACTGAAACTGGTGTTCAGTGAGACCAGTGTTTGGTACAGTATACTGAGACCAGTGTTAGGTAGACTGTGACCAGTGTTTAATGAGACTGGTGTTTGGTGAGACCGGTGTTTAGTGAGACCGGTGTTCGGTGTACTGAGACAGGTGTTCACTATACTGTGACTGGTGTTCGGGGAGACCAGTGTTCGGAGTACTGAGATCAGTATACTGAGGCCGATGTTCAGTGAGACTGGTGTTTGGTGTACCGAGACTGGTGTTCGATGAGACTGGTGTTTGGTGAGACCGGTGTTCGGTATACTGTGGCTAGTGTTCTGCGAGACTGGTGTTCGGTCGAGACCAGTGTTCAGTGTCTTGATAACGGTGTACCGAGACTGATGTTCGGTGAGACCAATGTTCGGTGTACTGAGACCGGTGTTCCATGAGACCGGTGTTCAGTGTCTTGATAACGGTGCACCAAGACCGGTGTTCGGTGAGACTGGTGTTTGGTGAGAATGGCGGTCGGTATACTGTGGCCAGTGTTCTGCGAGACCGGTGTTCAGTAAGACCGGTGTTCAGTGTCTTGATAACGGTGTACCAAGACCGATGTTCAGTGAGACCAATGTTCGGTGTACTGAGACCGGTGCTCGGTGAGACTGGTGTTCAGTGTGCTGCGGGAGAAAGGTCAGGGGTGCTTATTGGTCTGGATCAGTAGAGAGGCTTATGGGGTTTGGGGCAGCAACACAAAGTGTCTGCTTTTGTGTTTTACTTATCTGCTCTGCTGCTTCCTCACAATAACCTCACTGGCCATGATCGCTACCGTCTCTAAAGTGACGTCGCCATGCGTGAGCGCGGTCTTGTTGCATACGCCGGCAGTAAATCTATATTTAACTCTGCTCCTCTTACCCTGAGACGCCTGCATGCAAAGCATGCTGCTTGGGTGTGGTCCCTACTCCCAACCATGCTGGAAGCAGCCAGAGACGGTCTCTGAGAGTAAGCCGTTCCAGATCGATGTCCATACGTTTGTTTATTATTTTATTTATTTACCCCCCCCCCCCCCACCCATACTGTTAGACTTTCCATATATATATAGCAGATGGGATATTTCCTGTAGTAGAATGTGTAGCTCTGGCTTTTAAGAAGGAGAGAGACTGTCAGTGGCAGGGCCTGAAGCATGTAGAGAGGGACAGATAATCATAAAATTAAATTATATTAAATTAAATTCAATTAAAGTAAATTAGTAAAAAAGGAGAGAGCAGGAGTCAGCCTTCCCCAGCCTGACACCTTTTCCTCCACTTTTATTGGTCTTTTTCAGTTGGAGGAGGACAGGCCACACCCCCAACACTCATTGCCGAGGCCCAGCCAATTGCGAAGATTGGCCTCCTATGTCTTCTCCTCCTCAACTCTGGAAACGGAGCTGTACCCCCAGCCCGGCGGCACTTTGATCCAGCGCAGCCGCTCTGCCGAGAGCAGCCCGGCCCGCGGGCCGTCCCGGCGGCACATGCCTCTGGTGGCCGGGGGCACCAGGCCCCGCCACTCAGTCCTCAATGTGTCCAGGTTGCACATTCAGCAAATGCTAGCCAAGCTAATGAACAAGACATGAGCCAAGACGAGTCCCCCCTCCCCCCAAGCCACTAACCCTGTAATCTCCTGATTTAAAACAAAAAAAAAGTTTGTTTCTTTCTTTCCCCCTTTTCTTATTGATGCAATAAACTGGGTTCAGTCCTTGCTGACAGCAGCGAGTGGCCCTGTGTGAGGGACAGAGAGACCGGGCATTGCTATGGGAGCCACGAGCGCGTCCGGGCAGCGGCAGCGCCTGAAGCACCTCGCGATGCAAGACGTCAGCGATTCGCTGTCCAGGGAGAACAGGCAGACCGGCGAGACGGAACCCGCACCCCCTGCCCCGCCTCTGGGATGCTTTTTGGCTGTTGTGCAAAATATGATGAAAAGACAGGGAGAATAAGAATAGAATAAGAAACTGTTTTTTTTTTTTTTTTAAAGATGTTAGCTGTTTAGGATCTAGCTGAGGATGACTGTCGGTAAAGGCTGTGTATTAGTAGCCCCCCCTCCCCCCCCCGTCTGGGAGAGAGTAGTCTTTGACCTCCATTTTTAGAAGGTGCTCAGTTTGCTGTGATTTCAAGCCAAAGCTGCTTCCACCAGGGCAAGGAGTTTGGGGGTGGGTCTAGAGAAGAAGGGCTGCAGATGGGCCTGCAGCAAGGAGACCAGCCAGTG